CATCAATCACATTTTGTGCACTACTCCGCGAATTAACTCCAAAATTTTAGAATTTTCTTGTGAAATTCATCCACAGAAGCTAAGTATGACTCTGATCACAAATGTGGTGTTCAATGTTGGCGCCAGAGTCACTGATAGTGACGCATTTAATGATGTCAAACGCTCTTGTGCCAAAAAGCAATGTCGTATTCGTGAAAGTAAACAATCCCTTTGAAAAAATCCCTAAAGATCCTGGTGAAGGAAGGGTAAGGGCGCCATGTAGCGTAATGAAAGTAAGGGCTCGCGTTTTTGATAAGAACCATCAATTATCCTTTTCAACGTAACGACTTTCAGAAGTTTCAAGATCGTAATAGTTCATGACTGACTGCTAAGTTATTTTTTGAAGTCAAGTCTTAGTCAAGTTTTTCTCGTGAAAAGTTTCTTAAACCCTTTTTGCAGAACCTTGTATTCATCACAGTTCAATTGTTTCCATTACAGGGCTTTGAAGTATCCGCAGTGCCTTCATATTCTTGAGTGCCTTCAGTGCAATAACTTTCGAGAAGCTCTTACTTCAGGTTCGGTATTTTCATCTATCCTATCGTCGCTGTTTTCGCTGCTTCATGCTAAAATAATTTAGGAGCGAATGCAAAGTTCATAGAAGATCAGCAAGTTCTCCAATGGCTGTATTATTTGCGGAAGCGACAAAGACTGCATGTGAGATTTTAGATTTTAATTTACTGCTTTAAAGTTCTCCTGCTTTAAAGTTCTCACATTTTATATCAGCTGTGCGACAGTAGCTGTGAATTTTCGACCTCCTTCACTTTAAATATTGAAATTTGATTTATGCATTAGTTACACTGGTTTTATTTCAAATTTCGAAGCTATTAGGGGTATAACGACCGCTGTTATTCGACCCCCCCCCCTTTTTTTTTGCGAGGTTGTCTACCTACAGCAAGCTTCACCGCACATCTGAATACACTTAATTTTCGAATTGATGTTGTAATCATTCGTCTGATGGAGATACAGGTTCAGATGTGTTGGATCAAACAAGATTCAATCCGGTTTCAGACTACAAACGTTGTGAAATCAAACTTTAGACAAGCCGTTCGATCCTTAATTTAATATATTCTTGGAGGCTGCCTCTCGCCTGAACAGAACACGCCAAGGTTTGAAGGAGCTTCTGGTATTATATCACCACTTTTTCGTTATGGCACACAACGTTGAAATCGGAAAAGCTGAAGAAATGACGCTCTTCTGGTTCCTGTTTTCGCAGTAGCTCAACTTTCCTTGCTTCCATTCTGCTTTCATGTCTTTCATTTACGTATTTAAAAGTGCAGATGTGGAGTAATTGAATTCACTTCAAATTTTTGCGCACTTCATCGCAAAGTGGTGGTGTAATGGTATAAGCTGCGGTTATCTTCTGAATTGAAATGTGTTATTTCACCTATAGGGTTAGTTGGAGTTGTGCGTAGTTACGCTTCTTGTGAGTAGCTTTTGTGTGTCTGTCTAGTTCGTCTTCATTTGATATGCATATCTATTTCCAAAAACTCATGTTCAGAATAGACTAATATTGGTTTATGACACTTCTACCTTAAGGTGAATCCTGAAGCGGCAGAAGATGCAGGCGAAAAGTCTCAGGAGGATACGGATGACGACACTGACGGGGACAAGACCGGTTCTGATATCAATTAGACCATTGGCAAATTGGATTAAGTCGAGAATTTTCATGTGGTGCGTCAGGTGTACATAAAATTTTATTTCGGTATGTCTTTTCAACAAAACAGTCGCAATATAACAAAACAAATACGTTGTATAAGGCTTAGAACTCTGAAATGACATTATCACACTATGTTTCAAATGTAGATTGCATCTACTTATGCTGAGGGAAAGACATTTGACGCTTCATATCTGATAGATTCTCGCCCCAGTGGAGGTGATGTCTTCCATGTGTGTGTAGGAACTTGAAATCCAGCTAGGAAAGTGTAGTGATCTCGATGGATATCATTAAAGCAACGCAGCTAAGAAGCAACCACTGTTCCGGAGAAGTTCAATGTCTCCTTGAAGATGAAACACGTGAGGTGCTGGGTGTTATAGTTTGGTAGGAGTGGAGGGGTTAGTTAGGCACATGGGATTGGCCACGTGATCACCTGATTTGGCGCAGTTACTTTCTGTTATTCTGTTTTAAAGGTGGGAGTTTGTAATATTTATAAACATTATAAAAGCAAAACTGATGGACATACTTTCTAGCAGTAGCGCCGTTCATTGTGAATATGGCGGTTCCATTTCCATAGGGGTTTTTGTTAATGATTTCAATGGCATCATTCAAGGTTTCTGCTTCCATGACAACTAGAACCGGCGCGAAAATCTCTTCCTGAAAGTACTATGTTGATGGCTGTTTCAACTATAATCTCCCTGAACAATAACAGCAATCTGGATCAAAAGCAGAAGCATTTTTAAAGCGAACCTTATAGCAAGTCATGTTTGGTTTGACTCCTGCGATAATCGTGGGTCCCACGAAGTTGCCGCTCTCGAACCCTGGGACAACGATGTCGCTTCCGTCGAGTAGTACATTAGCCCTTCTGTGCAAAAGGAGAGGCGAAAAAGGGTGGTAGTGTTCTGAGGCAAAGCGCGAAGAGAAAGCTCAAAATTCAACCTTCTTCGCTCCTTTATGATTTGACGGCGCGCTAGTTTTGCTGCCAGGTGTATCAGGGACGACGTCCAGTTTCATGGCTTCCATCCTCAAAGAATTTTAAGAATCAGTTTAGTAAACTCCTTGTGCTAGATGTTAGGACAAACCTGCATTTACATGAAGCTGCTTGGCCCTATTCACTAGTTCAGGTAACCAAGAACGGGCCTCGCCGACAAGGATCGCCGTCGAGAGGGCCATACAACGTTGTCCTGCAGCTCCAAATGCAGCGGCTGTCAACTAAATAAGACCTCGCGTAGCTCAAGATAGTTTATCCAGGACAGTGAACACGATCATAAAGGTTAGAGCGCTTGAATACTTCTCAGGAAGCTAAAAGGCGTTTCAAGTCTGGCTATCGATGAAGTCCTCTATTGGCAGGCCTTCTCATCCGTTAGTGTCACTGTTTAGGCTGCTTTCATAGTTCGCATCGGTGCGGTCGGTGCCGACGGTGCCGACGCGCCGACCGCACCGACAGTGTGAAGAGCGTCAACACGCGCTCTGGCGCATGACGCGTGCGCTGGGCGCAGATGGGGGCTCCGGTGGGCTGGGGGCAGATGGGGGCGCTCCGGTCGATAATCTTGGTTTTGGTTTAGGTATTTCTTGTATTTTTTCGATGTTTTTTGCACTCACTTCATATGAATAAACAAAATTGCTTACGACCAACACACCCGGTATGGCCACATCCACCCGGAGTTGTGCGACGGGTTCACGACGTCGCTCGCCCGCGGAACAACTGGAAAGTATTAATCAAGACATAAAAGGGTCGCATTCCAGTTAGGGGGCATCATGGTGCGGTGACTCCCAAAAAGCTACGGTAACTCTGAGCCAGGAGTGTAGCCAGCCTAGGGGGGTGGGGGTGAGGGCAGTCACTTGACATGCGTGAGAAGCTGGAATGTTCGAGTTTACATTAGCTCGCCGAGAAACTGCATCATGATGCCCCCTAACTGGAATAGACCCCATAAAAGGGCGCAATGTGGCTCGGGGGGGGGGGGGCAGCCGCGCGCGGGGCGTTGCGGCAACAGGAAATTCGCAAGCCAGGGGGAGTGTAGCCAATTCAGGGGGGGGGGGTGGGGGTGAGGGCAGTCACTTAGCATGCGTGAGAAGCTGAAATGTCCCGTGAAAAGCTGGAATGTTCGAGTTACACTACATCGCTGAGCCGCGCACCGACTTCCCCCCCCCCCCCCCCCGAGCCACATTGCGCCCATAAAAGAATAAGTATGAACAGGAAACACACGAATTAAAGCAACACGGCGCGAAAAAACATCGAAAAGCACAAGAAATACACCAAAACCAGGATTATCGATCGGAGCACGCGATCTGCGCCCAGCGCACGCGTCATGCGCCAGAGCGCATATTGACGCTCTTCACACTGTCGGTGCGGTCGGCGCCGTCGGCGCCGTCGGCACCGACCGCACCGATGCGAACTATGAAAGCCTAACCAATACAAGTGTGTCTTCATTCATGAGGAGAAGTGTCGTGCTTGTTTAAATTAGTGTTGTATCGCATTGCGAAATATATCGCTACAGAAACTTACATGACTGGCCAGACTCTGACGCTTTCATAAGGAAAGGTGCGCTGATGTTTGCTTGAGCAGGAGTTCGAAAGCACTCCACCCCAAGAGCAACTCGCCCATCAGTTTAGTTGGTGATTTGGACCATCACAACTGGAGCAACTCGACTGGAGCATGGACTGGCATGGTGACACCAAACGCGTTGCAATAAACTCGTCATACGTCGCCGTCCTAGCCGCTGCCGTCCTTGAGGGAGGATCAATGGCCAAAATAAGAGTGGTCTCTTTCTCGCGTTTCTTGAGATTTTGTTGCTTTTGGCTCACCATTTAGTACTCCTGCGTCCCTGTAAACCCTCAACCTGACCGTAATGCCTTCAATGGCTTATCGCGAAGACCCCAATTAGGTTAATCACTCCAAGGGAGACATCTGCGCAATTTAAAATGGTAAACAGCTTGCTTCAGACAAGGAAAAAAACTACATTACCGGATTAGGGTCTGCTCTTGTTGCAGTCCGGCGATGACCACCGTGGTTCTTGGCACCCATGTTCGACTGAACACGTTTGCCATTGCCGACCTCCACGTTCATAAATATGTTTACCCTGGAAATGGTTATGGTAACCTAGTTAAGAAATTCGGTGAATAAGCTTGGTGGCCGTGATTGGCCGACGTCAGATTTCGCGAATCGCAGCGTAGGTCGCGGTTGCGTTGTAGTACATACTACTCGGCGCTGCGAACCGCTCGATTCGCAAAGTCTGACATCGACCATCCATGGCATAGGCTTCAGTGCAACTCTACCCTCATTAAGTAGTAAAACAAGGAACAAGTTGTACCAGAACCACCGCGTTGTCGCCTCCGACGAATGAGATTGCTTTGATGTCGGGATGATCACAGATAAAGTTCACGGTGTCGTGCTGACCATGAATAATGTTGAAGCATCCGCCATCAGGAATTCCAGCTTCCTGAAATTCAGACCCATAAGCCATATGAGCAAGATCGAAACGCAGTTGCGCTCACCTTGGCGAGTTCGGCGAGCATCAAGCAAGCTCCAGGATCTTGTTCTGATGGCTTCATTACCATGGTGTTTCCGGTTAGCAATTGGTGCGAGGGAAATCCAGAACTGGCGACGCGATCACCGGTAATTTGGTGAATGGACAGATACCGGCAGTGACTCCCAAGGGATAGCGATATGAGATAACGTCCATGTCACGGGACACACTGGAAACAGTCCATTCAAAAGAGAAGGCAATTTTGAGAAGCAATAGAGAAAGCTCACCCCGGAAGAGTCTCTCCGAGCATCAGTGATGGTACTGAGCAAGCATGTTCAACTATCTTAAAATAAAATTTAAAAGCGAACGGTGAGGGTTTGCATCTTTCGGTTTAAATATAATAGTATAGAAAGGAACCTGAAGACCTCTGCTAACGTCTCCCTCGGCATCGGCAACGTCTTCCCTTGTTCCTTCTGTGATGTTCTCAGCGAGCTTCTTCAAGTCACGCTTGATCAGATGTTGAAGGCGGAACATGGTCTGCTGACGTGTCAAGGGAGAACTAAAGGAAAATCAGGTGAACATCAGAATGAACCTATATGGGGTGTTATGAATTCTCAGGCTATACCAACGTATTTTTCCATGAATTGAAGGCATTCTTGCACGATTCGACGGCTGACTCCATCTCAGCCTGTGTGCACTTTGGGACTCGAGCAATGACCTCGTTTGTAGCCTGAACTAGGCAACATATGAAATAAATTCTCAGTATGCTGTCACGTATCAAACTTTCCATATATCCTACAATCTACAGCGTAGGAATCTATTAATTATTTATTATTTTATTTATTTATTTGTGCTTGAACACGCCATAAAATTAAAATAGCATGAAGTTAAAAATTTCCAACAAACTGTCAAAAATATCAGTAACAAAACCAGTGATAAATCAGCGACCTGAGGTTGAGTTCACTAGCCTATCTGCGATCTACAAGAAGAGACGTATGAGCTTGCGTCAGAACCAAGCGGTTCGCAGGGTTGCGCGATTTTCGCCGATTTTCGCGATTTTGCGCGATTTTTCGCGATTTGCGCGATTTTAGCGATTGCGCGATTTTCGCGATTTGTCGCGATTTGCGCGATTTTCGCGATTTGCGCGACGGGTCACGGAAATTACAAGTGCCCCATCCATACTGCAAGGTGTTCTCCAATCCCGCCGTCACTTCTGCTTGATGGTTATGGTTTAATGGAGACTGCTCATGATTCCACTTGTTTCATATCCAGTGTTTCAATTGTTCAAATGGGGCACTTGCAATTTTTGTGATTGGTTTGGTTTGATTCCTGAAAAAAAAGGAACGATTCAAGAGCATTTCAATGAACTAATAGACATTGAACATGAAACAAGTAGAACCACAAACATTCGTCTTCCAATCTTTACTGCCAAGCAGAATTCGCAGCAGGATTAAACAACACCTCGCAGTATTCATCGGGCACTTCCAACTCCTGTGATCCATCGCAGGTTTCGCGAAAATCGCGAAAATCGCGAAAATCGCGCAAATCGCGAAAATCGCGCAAATCGCGAAAATCGCGAAAATCGCGATATAATCGGCGATATTAATTCGCAAGCAAAAAATCGCAGACTCTGACACCAGCGAGCTTGCAAGCAAATGATCGCAGTGCTTGTAGGAATGTGGAATGTATCAATAGTATCTCCATCATTGTAACTTGTATTTTTCATGCGAGATTACAATTTTTGAACGGAGGTGTGACCACGGAACTTTGAGAACTTAACTATTCAAAAAATTGCCCCCCCCCCTCCTCCCCTCACCGTCTGGGACATCAAAAACCCTATCTTAAATAGTAACTTCCAAAATCACAATTTTGACTATTCGACTGATTGACTTCATGAATCCAGTTTGTCCGGAACAGGTGGATTTTTATTTGAAGATATTGCGGGAGGGATTTGTCACATCGGTCCGCTGACAGCTACCAGAGAGCCATGGAGGGCCAAGCACTCGGACTCAACCCAGCTAGCTTAAAGGAGGATTAATACAATAAGAAGGACGGTGGAGGAGGGCGGAAACTTACCTAGTGGAGAGGCAATGGGCTGTGAGTGATCGTGGAGGATGCGGAGGAACATGCAATTTGAATCCGAAGAGTAGTGCTCTTGGCGATCTAGCAGGCGCCTTCTCTTATAGCGCAGTTGTCCCGGAAACACCCCGGCTATCTAATCACTTGCTACAGGTCTTTACGTGGCAAGTAATTGAACAGCAGAAAGAGTGTTAGCGGTGAAGAGGGCACAACGATGCGAGTCGCATCAATGCGGAAATCAACACGCAAAGGAATGGGTCCCATTTCTCGGGTTCCGGGCCTGTTCACATAGTTTCTTCTTCACCCCTGTTCACTGACTACCGTTCCGTATTCAATAACTTATCTTTTCACGCGATAATATCACTATTTAACAGACTTGTGCACCTCGATAAGGCGACCGTTTTTGGCAAAATTTTTTTCATGAATGCACGATATGGCTTTCTTATTAGTGAAGCGTGGGGTGGTGGGTGTGGGCGCTATACTGTGCTATCTCCTGCAAAAATGCTCAGGCTGTTTTGGAGGAGGAGATACGCATTAGGAGTCTCGGCCAGATGATCTAGGACAAGAAGGTACTCATGCGTGAATAAACTTCATCAACAGAAATGAAAAGCAAGGAAAGAAATACGGAGATCTGTCATGTACTACCGGGCTAGACATTGCACGGATAAAACAGAACCCGACAGAAAATTGGGAACCTCGGGCATCTTTCTTTTTCACTTCAAGGGCTCACCATAATGCATTTTGATCGACTTGCCGCAGACACTAGGTAGCGGAGGACACCTTCGTAGGTCCAATACAGTGAGCGCATTTCGTTCGAAGGCCGGACCGAAGCGGACCAAAAGGGGGTTGCGATCCAGCCAGCGGTTAAGTTCTCTTTGCTGTGAAACTCAATGGCTTATCCCACACTAGTCCTCCGTCCAATCGAACTTCAGGCGTTCTGTAGAAAATCAAAGCAGGGAGCTCACGTTGATGACGCTAGCAGCGATGCGACTTGCCTAACGCGTTTTTCACCGGAAAAACAAGGGTGCAATTTTGTGGTCCTGAGCTCGTATTCCATAGTTTTTTCTCAATCGCTGCACCTCTCAGCAGCTCCACCTTCACCAAATATGCGACCGATTGATAGCTTTTGGTCTGAGGGAAGCTACTGTAGTTTTCAGCATTTTTTGCCAACTGCTCATACCTAACTTCCACGTAAGTTGTATTGTTCCGTAAACAGACAGCTCAATCACCTCAGGTGATTGAATGCTGCTCTGCTGCAGGATGGGACAAGAAACTGCCGAATGGAGTCCAGCATTGTTTACGGGCACGGCTCAGCAATGGGAAACCGAACTAACCCCTTCTATCAAGGCTGGTGTGGTGTGGTGTGCGCATACCACAGGAGCATGAAGCCACGCTCGTGAAAAGCGCGGTGATAACGTCCCTCTACCCTGTATTCTAAGCTATCGTGGATTAGCTTGAGCTATGACCGCCCACCGCGAGAGGTGGCATAGCATAGCATCCTCACAAGATACATAGCATTTCATCCGAACGACTTTTTACCATCAAGCACGGTTAATCCATTGTAAATCCAAATTGTGATAAAGAAGTCAGGAAAACTCGTCCGAACATGCATGCACTGCGAGGCTCCTTCGCTACTTTTAAGATAGACCACAGAAACCATTTATGGTGCGTGGATGCGACGGTTGCTCGTGGGCGCACCGTGCGCCCCGGCCCATTCGCGCTCGGATGCCAATGCGCAATGCGCTCCTTGCGCCATTGGCTCCGCCCCCTACGGTCAGTGCCAGCGGGCAGTCGTCGTGTGTGCCTTACGGCGAGCGGTGACCTGCCTTGCCTCGGACGTCCCCTATGTCTACCTAGCTGTCAGGCAAAACATCGTCGAGTTCGGGCCCGCAGCAGCCTGTCGGCCAGACATGCATAATGCTGCCGACACGGCAGGGTCAACCGTTACGTTGGACCGATATTGGAGCGACGTTGGACCGATGTTCACCGCTCCGCGCCGGCATTCACTCTCGCCACCCGCGAGCCGTCTGTGTCTCCGTGCGTACGTTCACTCTCGGCATTACTCTCGTCGTCGCGTTGGACTTTGTCCAACGGACGGTTGACCCTGCCAACCCCACTTCCCGTGATTGGCTACACCACAAAGGTTACTGCGTGCAGACACGAGCCAGCCAGTCAGAGACTAGTGGGCGTGTCGGCAACATATGCTGCCGACACTGCTGCGGCCCGTAACTCGGTGGTTTCTGCTGGAGCATTATCTGAGTATGTCTACCTAGCTGTCAGGTGAGTGTATTGAATGGCGTTGAGCCCCCTAGCAGTTGAGGTGCTAATGTTGAAGTGTCTAATACGTGTCCCAGTGCTGGCATCCAGGGGTTGGTCGGTGTTCACCGGGCAACGCGAGGAGGCCCCGGAAAGGCGAGGAGGGATGTCCCCTCCGAGCTGGAAGGTTGCGGAGCGCCACCCGTTAACTGGTCGTGGTCCCTCCCCTGCTCCCCGTCTGGGAGCAGCCTGGTATCACGCCCCGTCTCGGACCCGCTGACCGTGCGGGCCCCCTAGAAGTGTAACATCCGAGCAAATGGGGGTTTAATACGTTAGCCAGCTGGTGAGGCACACCCATGAGTGAGGTGACTCAGGGAGTCTGACGAGCAATGGTATGTACTACGTATATAATACTACGTATATAATAAATGTATTAGTAAATATATGTGTTGTTTGTGTAATGTTGTGGTCTTACCCTAACTCTGTATGTGTAGCCGTGGGCATTGTGTTACTAAGGTTATGGGTCAGGACGCGTTGTGCCCAGCCAGAGTAGTTCCGCGTGTGCGGCCGGCTGGAAGTCCCCTAAGTCCCCGGGGGAATGGTCCGCACCTCTGAAGGTGTGCCGCAGAGGGTGTAGGGCACGATGGGAAGCCCTTGGCGAGCTGCTGAGCGGAGACTAAGGGAGGGCTGCAACCGTACGCGACATATGCTTTCCTTATGGTTTCTATCCGTCTTTACTTCACTGACGTCAATTTACATCTATGTCATTTCCAAGTGCCATAGGCCCCCTAAGCAATACTGGCCCTTGTCAAAAAATAATAGCTAACGAAAATGATTTTTTATAACAAGATGTAATTAGATAATTAACGGCTAAGGAGTAATTCAAAGCAATAGAATATATCGTACTCACGGGGTTGGTTAGGTCGATCCATTCATTGGTCTTTGACTCGACAGGACGACCGTCGATCCACATCTTCACTGTTTTGTCCGTAAGTGCGGCTCTACTCGTTGAGATGAAAGCATACTGCTGACCGACCGCATAAGCCTGAAATATGAGACCTAAACATAGGCGCTCAAAAGTTGTATGAAGTTGTCTGAAAATTAACAAATTTTTGCAGCCCCTTTAGTGAACCAGCAAACAACGCCTCTGAATGTTTTCACGATTTTGAGTCTGTATCGCAGACGTGGCGCAACCCGAC